TTGGAGGGAGAGTCCCCCTCCCTACGACCACGTGTCAGGGGTGGAAAATGGCCACGGATCATGTGTCAGGGGCGGAAAAATGGCCGCGGACCACGTGTCGGGCGGAAAAATGCCCACGGACCACGTGTCAGGGGCGGAAAATGGCCATGGACCACGTGTCACAGGCGGGAAAATGGCCGCGGACCCTGTTCGTAACCCGAGGCGGAGTTCGTGAACCGAAGCAAAATTTTGCAGCCGGAGCTGGTTGTCACCCGAAAAGTTAGTGAACAGAAGCGTTCGTAACCCGAGGTTCCACTGTATTTTATATGGTCTAAACCAATATCTGAGGCTTTCTATTTTTGTTATGGATTGCAGCTAAATATTTGGTTTTGCTTTTCCTTTCTTGAGAAATAACTTGATGGAAGTTTTCTGTAGACATCCAGTTCTATGTGTAATACAAATAGACTTTGTCTATTTCTAATTAATATTATTGTCTTGTAGCTATGTACTGTTAGTTATGGAAAGGTGAAGCTGGTCCTGAAGCATAACAGGTAATCAGTTACTTGCTTTCTTTTTTGAGTTCTAGAATACTATATTTCCAAGTGTGTTCTGATATTAGTTTTGGCGTTGATGCTATTTCAGTGAATGATCTTGGTTTTTCATAAGTTATTTACTGAAGAAGATATGATTGGGTCAGAAATATATGCAAATATAACTTGTCTGTTAAGAGCAACCTTTTGATGGCCGAGGTCTACATGTGACAGGAGGAATGAAAGAGTCAGATGGGTACAAGCAAACAACAAATATGAGATGTGGCTGTATTCATTTATTTAAATTTATATGGCCATGCAATTTGCATGCAAAGTGATTCTGGGTAGCTTACAGTGCACAGCAGCAGAAAAATAAAGGAATTAAAAAGAAAATGCAACAAACACCCAGATACAAATAACAGAATAACCAAAGCCAACTACTGTATGCTCATTCACATTGTGATTTGATAACCCAAGAATTCTGGCTTCTTATGTGTGAATGTGGCCACTGCCTCAATAGGATTACAGTCAGGGATAAAATGCTCTCTATTTCTTCAAATAAATAGCATATTATCTGAAGGAAGTGCAAAAACCTACAGGAGCACATGGTTCTATAGAGGAAGATCTTAAAATGTTAAAATATGATAACATTTAATTACAGTGGGGCAAAAAAGTATTTAGTCAGCCACCAATTGTGCAAGTTCTCCCACTTAAAAAGATGAGAGAGGCCTGTAATTTTCATCATAGGTATACCTCAACTATG